AATGTTGCCTGTGGAGATTCCAAAATGAATCCGATGATATTGAATGTAATGATTTTGAAATCGAAGTGCTATACAAATGGAGCGGGTGGGGGCGTGGGTGTGGGTGTGAGTGTGAATGTGGGTGTAAGTGTGAGTGTGTCGGTTTGGATGTGAGTGTGAATATGGATCTTCTTTTAGTGCATACTCACATCCACATTCACACTCACACCCACACCCATGCCCACACCCTTCAAGAAATAGCCTCTTCCTAGTGGAATTCTGAAGTCGATAAGGTTAGGCAAGAAATTCAGAATGATTACCAAGGACTCTTAACATAATTACTTTAATTTTGAAAGTAAAGTTAAAGTGTCATACCTAGTTCATGGAAATGGAGAACCCATCCGGATGCTGGGTTCCCGGAACTCAGATCAACTTTGTACGAAAAGACATTGAAAGGCTATATTAATATTCCATGGCGTTTAAAAATGCATCAATATGGTTTGTAAAGTGGGTTTGTGTTTGTTGGGAGCGGAACCGTAGGGAACGAGGAACCTTGACACTGCTAACCGGGACTAGGAGATACTAAATTTTTACAAAATTTTCTGTGATTTTTAGTAAATTATGTTGTAAATCGTATTGTTTGTCGCAGGAAACGATCAAAATAAGAGTAATTAAAGATTTTAAATACTTAAAATGAATAAATTCTGAAGAATTTCTGCCCAGACCGGGAACAACATCGGACCGAGACTAAAATAAATGTGGAAATCTTGGATTTATATCCAAGAGTTATGTGTACTTCAAGAAGTGAATGAGACAAATCGGTCATCCTAGAATGTCTGGATATAAAAATCTGCGTGGCAAACCTTTTCTATAAACCCTTGAATTCCATTGCCTACTGTTCAACCGTAGGACTTAGGAGCGTATAGACCTCAAATTTCACCTGTTCGGCTTTATTTAGCCTCAGAAAGTCGTTTTTCCTATAACATGATTTCTATTGGTCAATACTCAACCAATGGGGCTTCGAGCCAAGTTTAGTGCAGATTCTAGTTCTCCACCCCAGAAAACCTTCGATTATCATCTCTATGGTCGAAAGATAGAGCTCTAATTGGTGATCAATTAGAGCGTGCACAAAAACAGAACCGATTCTTCCCTATTTATCTTTGCGATGGGTGAGATAATCTTCCTGTTTCCTCATGTTTTATATATCATTTTGTAGCTCTTGAAATTCTCTATCGAATGGTATATAATAGTTGGGGTTTTAATTGACTATGATAGGAAAAGTCTTTTATGAAAGCGGCGATGGGTCGATTTTTCCATAGGAAGCTATAGGGAAAAATGGGTATTTTTGCAATAACTCAGGAATGGCTCGGCCGATCCCTCTCATCTTCGAACTCGATCGAGATATTGTAAAGACTGAACTGTATAGAAAATTTCATCGCAATCGGACTCTCCTTTCGAAAGTTATCGTGTAAACGGCCGGCCGGACATACTGACCGATTCTAGAGTGTATTCACTTTTTGAGTACACAAAAAATCCGACATTAGTTGGCATGGGTAGCGGTTGAATCATCTTTATGTATAGGATAATAAGCTTGAAAGCGAAAAATATTTAATTGATTTTATTAATGAAGTAGATAAACATTATGCTTCGATTATGTTAAATGTTATTAATAATCATGTTAGAGTTCATTTAACAAATGCTTATTCTTCATTCAGGAAAGCTGATTATTTTCATCAATTATTATGTTTTACTAAAGGTTATAATAATCAAATAGAAGTAAAAATGACAGAAAATAATTAATCATTATGTATTTTAGATTGAATATTGTTCAATTTGTCATCAACGAAATTCATTACCGGGTGTATAATTGCAGAATATGGCTTTGTTTTTCTCAACATCTTTTTCATGCAAAAAACGAAACAATTATGAAATATAAATTTTACATTCTTTATTCTAGTATGTATTCTATAGAAGACGTAGCAACATCAAATATATTATACATTGGTAAATCCACAAGGTTTCTATCATATGTTGGAATTTTATTCGATTTTAATATTCTAGGTAGGCGCATCAGCGTCAAAAAACATCTAAAGATCAATTGAGATCTTTTTTTTCAACGCATAAACTGTCGAAATCCAGAATATTCATTAGGAATATTCAAAACATACGTATATGAACAAAATAGCTTTCATATATACTTTTGACAGTCACTGTTTCAATAAGGTTACTTTTTTTTTAATCTAATTAGAATATTTATTCGTACAGAATTATCGAATTGTTTATTGGTGTATCCATACATGTCAAGCGTGAAAGTTGAATTCAATTATGAAACAAATCACGTAAAGATGTTCGACTATTAAACCAACCTTGAAATCCAAGCACATGCAACTACGCATACGCAAGCAACATGGCATTGCATGTGAATGCCGTAAAAGAATTGAGCGACAGGTCTGACTGATAGAACGAATAATGAAAACTTGAACAGTTGAATATCTGAATTTCAACTATTCGAATAGAGAAATAATTGAATAGTTGAAAAAGCTTTTCAATAATTGCATTCAACTTTCAAGTTTGACACTACCATAATATCAAGTTTATATGATAATCCTTACCTCCGTGAGGACTGTGATATCGGCCTGCTTCAGCCCGCACTCAACGATTAAGACATTTGGAAACAACGCTGGCTCATGGACCTGGTATGAGCCAGGACGCTCTCCTTCCAAGGCTAGAAAAAAATTTGATCTTATTAAAATTTTAAAATTAGCAACGGATGCTTACCGGTGGCCAGTATAGTAGTGGTTCGGTACACTGGCTCACCTGCCTTGTATCCCATGAGAACAATGGGACCAGCATTACCATAACCTACATTGACATTGCCCATTAATTTGCGTGTCACCGGCACCAGGTTGTCGGTCATGGTGCTGGCGTCACGGAGTGATCAGCACGGCCAGACAGTTCCTATTTTTGGAAAATCAATATTTTCAAAGATTGCAATAATGTCACTCACCTGATCTTCCTCGCACCAGCGAAGAGGCATGACCGACAGATACCTTGGATGCTGCACAAGCGCGTGTCTCATCAAAGTTAATATGGCCCCATGTACTTGTATTGGCGGCTTCTTCATGATCGATTGCTGAACTCATCTCATCAATTTCGTCTATATTAGATATAATTATATTCAGAAAGTGGTGGCAAACTTAGTGTCCTGCGGGAACGACTTTTCGCCATTCCCGTTTCCCGTTTCCGTTTCCGTTCCCGCACAAAAATCTTTTATTCCCGTTCCCGTAAAAAATATTTTTGTTCCCGTTTCCGTATTCCCGTAATGCTTTTGAAATTCTCATTTTTGTTTCATTTTTGAGGGTTGAGAAAGATATTACTAATGTATACTAGATCCTTTCGACATCGTGTACTGTATAATGTTACATTACAGCAAATTTTTCGTCAAGTGTAACAGCTGAAAAACATTCTTATGTGGGAGAAGCTCTAAGAGACTAGCGTATTCTGGAAAGATGTTTTCGAGTCGTAGTAGTTCATACTCAGATATGCAAACCTAATTTTTCAAGTTTTTAAGGAAATATACAAGATCATATATGATTCTTGTCCTAATATGTATTCACGTGCAATACTGATGTATTTTTATCAGAAATATAGGACTTGTATGCAAAGGTCAGTGTTATATGTATTGATCTTCCGATTGACTAGAATTTTGTTCTACTATGAATGTCAATACACAAAGAGTCGTATTTACAAAAACTAGTACTAAAGAAATTCTACGTCGACATCCACGTTTTCGCTATTTGGTAGTATGATTGCTATCGGATAGAACAATTTAGTTTTTTTCTTCCATATGTACTTGTTTAATACTTCATTAAACTGAAATCATTCTCATATAACCACACTATGGTAACTCCTAAAACCTGTTCAATTTTTAGGTTCCTATATAACCGTTAAGAAACATAATACACGAACTTAGTAGTAACCTAATGGGCGTTATATTATTTAGTTTTTATTGTACTTCTAATGTATGTTGATGATCGAATTATATAGAACTTCTTATTATAAAAAGAGCGTATGAGTTCGAATCTTATTCACAAAAAACATGTGTGCATATATGTTAGTAAGCATGCGAATCTGACTAGATTAAAAATAATAAAAATGTTCATAAATATATCTGGATAAATATAAAATTAAAACAAATTTTCGGGAACGTCACTTCTTAACATCGTTTCCGTTCCCTTGTTCCTGTTCCCGAAGTCTTCACAAGAATCCCCGTTCCCGATTCCCGCGGGAAACGAGCCGGGAAAATTCGGAAAAAAATCGTTTCCACAGGACACTAGGCAAACTACCAGTCTTACTTTGTTTCATTTCAATAGGAGTTGAGCATGATATTTGTTTTTTGTTAAGCTCCATGAGTCGTTGAGAAAACTAAAATATATTCAGTTTTTCGATGTAAAATTTTTTTAATGAAAGGTCTAAAAAGAACATAATATTCAACGAATCCAAGCGTAGTGAGACAACACTTGTTATTTCTTATGAAGAAGTGAAAAAAAATATCTCTTTGCGTGCAAGTTCTGATACATATATATATATACACATATATGCCTTATCATGTCCACTACGGGGCTTATCTCGCATTTAAATGAAAAATAAACATCGTTCGAATGTACTCATCATTTCTCATCTTTCAAGAATAAACGCTATCAATCTGGCATCTTCATTGGCACTGATAATCAATCATACGACCAATATAACCAACAAAATCTTTTGCTCCGAAAAAAAACATTTTTTAAATATTTTTATAATAATAGAAAATTCAAACCCTTTTTGAACAGAAGTAGATGGATTATGAAGCCATGGAAGAAAACGAGCAATTACTTTTGAATCTCTTTATCCACCCTCTGTGAATTCTGAAGCAAGATATTGTGCAAGACCACTATTTTAATTGACCACCAAATGTATCCTCTGTTAAACTAGATAGTTGTCATTCTTCACTTTTTTCTTTCGTTTTACTCTATTGAAATTCAAAAAAATAGATTGTTTTTCTTAAAATCTTTTTTTGTAACTTTTATTTTTGTTATTGTATGAATATCAGCAACAAATGCAACTGTTTCATTAAGATAATGTTTCATACGTTCCGTTCCATTTGTTATTACTTAATAATAATAAAAACAGTTCGTATAAATAGAAAAAAACATCATAGCACTGAGATCACAAACGCACAATATTATGAGGATCTTATGCACGATTGCCATCGCTGACAATTGCTGATATATAAATTGTACCACCAGCATCAAGCGAAATTAACTGAATAAAAATAAAAATTTATTGCAAAAGCAAAAATCAAAAGAAACATTTATTTAAATCATTAAAAGTAAATTTATATCCGGACATGGATGTCGATGAAACATAGCTTCAACAAGAACATTAGCAATAACTCTTGGTAATCAAAGTTTTTCTCGATCCTATTACAGAAAAGAGAAATTTTTAAATTCTGAAAAACTTTTCTTCTAATATTTTTTTATTCGTGTAAATGTTCGATTACTTATTGAGCATAATTGAATAATATGTTCTAATTGAAATGTTTCATTTTGTAAAATAAATGTTAATAATTTTGAAAATGGATCAAAAACACGTCTCACATTTGCTAATATAGAACTTGAAGTATGCTCATCATAATACGAAGTATGAAAGTTAAACCATAATTAATTGGTGTACTAGATTTAATTGTTGTATAAATACGTGTTAATTTATCAAATAAAAAATCAAATTCAAGAAATACACTTGTACATAATTGAATAGGTGAATCAATCGAAATATATTCCATAAATTGTGCGATATTACTGAGTAATGTTGTAGAAATGTCAAGAGAAAGACATTTTTGTTCATTTATATCCTATAATAAATAATAATTAAATTTTGTTTTGAAATAAATTATCAAATATTCAAGAGTTTAAAATGCAAAAAATGATTTCATTTCTCGCCTTCTTAAACTTCTATATGCGTGATATGACATTTTCGAGAAAAAAAAATTTACATTAGGAAGCCATTTAGGTGCAATAATTGAATTAAATTCTGGAAAATCATTCCATGATAAAGCAACTGTATGTAATGATTTTTCGTCTGAAACAAAAAAGTTTTCTTATTCAAGGTTTTATTTATATCAGAATCAAACCCTGCAAATTTTGTTGAAAACATTGATAAGAAATATTATCTGCAACTTATTGTTGAAACGCACAATGAATAAATTGTTGTGCAGTACTAGTTGAATTAGCCAGTGCAACAACAGTTGAATTTTCTTGCCATGCGTATCTATGAGATGCAGCAACTCTTCCAATTGTTTCAATGATATCCATAAGTAATGGAGCTGTAATAGCTGGTTCATGATGAACAAGTGTTCCACATATTATTATACAATAACCAATACATTCAATAGGTTGTCTACATTTATCACATTTCAACACAGCTCTAAATTGATTATGTGTATCTGTATCAGCATATGGATTATCTAATTCATCATTGGTTACTGTTGTTACTCGCTCAGTACTAATGATGTTTTACGACTAGTTGTTAAATGACCTTGTGACAGTGATGTACGTGTTGAACCACTGCAGAAATAAAAAAATAGTTAATTAAACAAAAAAGTTTCATGAACCTTAACGTTGGTGATTGAACATTTGAATCATCTTTATATTTACTTTTTTTACTATAATAATTTGGTTTTAATTTTCCATCAGTTGGTGTACCACGCAAACTAGCTAATGTAGATGATGATAATGATGTTACTTTAGGAATTTTTAGTGGACTTTCTTCTGTAAGAAAAGTCAAAGAACAAAATTTATTCATGGCTATTTGGGTTTAAATTAACCTTTAGTTCTACGCTATCAGGCTTAAGTGAAACAATATCAAGTTTACTACGTTCATCTGAATAAACAACACGTGAAAGTTCTTTCGTTCCTATGAACATATTTATTTTCTTTTTTAAATTGGTCGAAGTAATTATTACTTTTGATACCTTTCAAATCGAGTTCCGTTAATTTTTCTGTTGGAATCATTAATGATGATTGTCCTATTCTAGTTGATGTACTAGGATTAACACCAGTTGTACTTATTGTTCTATTACCAGTAAGAAGATTTTTTTAAAATTCTGTATATGATCGACCAGTTGAACCAACATTTTCCTCTCTTTGTCGAATAGATAATGGTTAGAGATTGTTTTTATTTTTGATTGAACAAGATATAATATTAAATGAATAAAAGTTATTGGAAACCAGTTGGACGTCTTCATGTAATGAATAGTTCAATATAGACGAAATTGAATCTGAGGAATATTTTTGTCAGAAATACATATTATGGTGACATCTATAATATATCCTTTGAAAAAAGAGTTATTAATATATATTGTCAAAACTATAAAATAAAATGTTCATTGTATCCGCATTTTTTATCATACATACTTCACTTATATTTTTTTCGTATAAACAAAGGATTGAATATGATATATAAAGTCTATCTGAACAGTTTATTAAGCCATTATCATCATATTTAAATTCGAATAAGGTCGTCAAGTGCATCTGCTGATATTAGCTTGATTTTCTTTACACAAAAAATTAATAATTCATTAAATTATTAAGGTAAATAAAATGTATGCATTTTCATTAGTTATTTTAATACATCAGTTCCTGTCTCTATCAATCTTTGTTATGTCTTTTCTTCTAGAGAAATTCATCATCTCAGTTAGCCAATTAAGCTCTTTTCAAATAGTATCCTGAATTTGATTCGTTTCTCAAACTGAGACTATATCCGAATTTAACTTTTCAATCAACTATATTTCTTAACTCGTCTTAATGTTTCTAGTGAAGACATGATCATATTCTTTTTTTATTGTAAACTAGTATCTTTTCATAATGACTGATGAACGACCAATACAAACAACCAGTACACTCCATGGTGATAATCCTCAAGTAAGCTAATAACTCTTTATGAAATAATCTTATAAGACCTTAACTAAATTTTAATGTTAATCTTTTATTACAGAATCATCCAAATGCATCAGTTGGTATTTCTGTATTACTTGAACGGATGAGTGTACTTCGAAATGATAACATTGCTTTACAAGAACAAATAGTACAAAATGTGTTACAATTTCAACAACAAGAAAAACAGACCGATGAAATATTAGAAAAAACTCTTCGTCATTTATCAATGACAAATGATAATTTGACCATTGAAAATAATAATTTGAAAGAAGAAGTATCTAATTTAAAACACCAAATGAATCGTCTTATTGAAGATAAAAATCAATTACAAAAAGAAAATAATATATTAAAACAACAAGCTGATCATTTATAAAAAGAAAATAATATTTTAAAACAACAAGTTAATGATTTACAATGAAACAACAATTTTCCTCATGAGGAGACGAAAAAGAACTTAAATTAGTCAAAGAAGAATTTGTTGTTTTGAAAAAAATAGTTGAAAGAAATAAATTGATACTTCATGTTGGAATTAATATGTTTGTTGTTCTAATCACCTGTATACTATAATTCGTTTTATTCTTTTACAATCATTGATTGTATTTCTTTTTTTTCTTCTTGTTGTCTTTGTCAAAATAAATGACGTTATGATTAGGAATATATGATTGATTCTTGAATCAGAAGTGTACTAGTTTCATCTCATGTTTTTGATGGAATATGAGGTAACATATTTTGATTTACACGAATAAAATATACAAATAGAACTATTTGTCACGCCAATTGTTTCCAAGCAAATATCCAAATTAGATTTATTGAACAATGAATAATATGTTCAATGAAGCTCGTTATCTTGTTTCATACAAAATAATAGTCTGGGTGAATAATAATAATAATAATAATATAAAAAATAAAGATAATTAAAGATTTCTTTCACTACATGTACATCAATGGTTGTCAAAGGATCCCGCCGGATAAGGGCCAAAATCTGGCTCCCCTGGATTGAACTCTAATATATACTACATGAAAGGGCACAAGTTACTGCACATTTCTGCATATTTGGTTTGGGGGTTTAATACTCGTAAAATATGGATTACAATGGAAGATTTGATTTCTGACGGGATGAGTATTCTCACATATAAGGAGTCATCAAAGTTTTTTTATTATTTTATTCATTTGAACGATAGTCACTAGGTTTGATGTAAGTGTTATTCCTCTATCAAAGAGCTCTGGTATCGATATCATATACTGCTTTTAATAAATAGAATCATAGACAACAAGACGTAGATTATGTGGTCATGCAATATTTATGACTTTGAAAAAATCGTAATTTCTTCCCAATGACTCATTGAACAAACTTGAGACTTTCTAGAAAACTGCCCTCACATATCCACTACTAAGTGCACTAATCAGATTGAAAAAAAGATAAGTGCCGAAAATAGAGCCAAGCGATACACCATCGATATATACCGTTTTTGACATTTCTGATTGAATCTTCTTTTTTTACATTTTTTCACTTCGAATCAAATTAGAACAAGATGATTCATCCTTAGTACGTAGTCCTTAGTCGAATACACTTTGATTTCAGTCAACAATGAGATCAATTCTATGTCTTCGTAGCGTATTGTTCAATTTGTGAAATCATACATCGATTGAAGTAGTGCATTGTGGGTCGATCGAGAGCATATTGTAGCACATTAATCGGAGCATTATCTAGAATTTCGCGCTTTGATTTCATTTTCGAATAAGAAGGTCATTCCAAGGCACTTCATCGATGTTCTCATAAGATTCAGATCGCATTTTAAAAAATCTAGTTCGGAATTTATGGCTATGGTCTCGTGCTTTATATGTTTATTCCAAGTTTGTGCATTATACTTTTATACACTCAAGTTCCTCTCTTTTTCTAATTTCTCCTTCTTTTTCTTCCTTACTCTCAAACAAAGATTGTGCGTTGATTATTCTACGTCATGTAGACCATTTTATCAAATTCCATACTGTTTTTTTTGTGTATCGTATTCATTGTTATGTGCTCTTTCTCTGCCAGTGCGCAAGCAAAGTGATAATGAGTAAGGATGGGGTACTGTTTGTCTTCGGTTCTGTTTTTAAATTGAGTCAGAGTATATTATTACCTACGATTCTCAACTTGCTGCAAGATGCTCAAGGTGAAATGCGTATTATGTCAGAAATGGAATAATCCATCACAATGTCGATCGTTGTCTTCATCTTCCTATGTTTGGTTTCATGAATTTCTCCGAGAAAAAGGTACTGCTGTTGACAAGAATAATTTATTTCTGTGCTCATCTTTTGAGAAAGACTTTTATGAATTGAAAGCGTCTCTTATCGAATCTGGTATTTCTGTCACGCCCGACAGTGGTGATGTCGAGCCAATGGACACAATAACGAGCGAAAATGATAATGAATTGGCATTAGGCAATGTGATTTATGCTGGATCCAGCCAGAGTATTTGTGTCATTTGTCGAAAGGAATGAGACGAGCTGTTCGACATGATTACCATGCCTCAATCTGCTCGTCTTGACTTACTCATAATTCACAAGTTGTATGTCCCACATGGTGTTCGCTGTTGTTGCAAGCACTTATTATCCTCTATGCGACTTGATCCTGAGGAAGTAATCAATATGACTAATCGAAAACAACTAAAGGTCGCTCTTTCGAATGATACGCTCATTGATCTAGTTGATGATCTACTCACTCTTATTCGAGAAGTGAGTCGATCTCCTTGTCTCAATTTCCGCGATTCAGCAATGTCGGATGAAGATTATGAGGCATGAACTGGATAGAAAAAGGATCAATTTGACGTAAGTAATGTTAGCACCAGATTCGCGTATTTCCTGTCTTTATTCGCCCCTACATCTGTGCTGTCTTCCTACTCGATTGTGCTGAATGCAGAATTTAATTATCTATCGAATGGTAACAACTTCGACCAAGCTCGTCGACCATAAAATAGGGTCTACCACCAAAAAACTGATTTTCGCACTATGTGACGAATTCGGAAAACATGTAATTCCTGTCCCGATTCGCGCATACACCTGTGCTGTTCCCCTTTTCGCTTGTGCTAGATGCAGAATTTTACGCTCTATCCAATGGTATAAGTTTTTGATAGCCTCATCGACCAAAAAGTTGGGATTTCTGGCCGAATACCATCCCAAAAACCACTTTTTTACATTATCTCCTGCCCGGATTCGAAAAT